ACATACAACTATCTACTGGGGCTTTGGGGGAAAAAATAAATAAATAAAATTAAAAAAAAAAAAATGAGATGATTTAGGAAAGTACTTTGTGCATTACCACGTGCTATGCCTGTGAGGAGTGGTAGACCCAGCACTAGCTTTGGAATTTGAACTGAGTTTCAACTCCAAACAAGCTGTGTGACCTTGGGCAAGTTCCTTTAACCGCGTAACCTCTCTGAACCATCTGAAAATGGGACTAATACTCTAGCATTGTGTTGTTGTGAACATTAGAGAAAATGTACATTTAAAAAGCCATCTAGGACAAACTACTGATGCATGCGATAATTTGTAGGCATCTCCAGGGAATTATGCTGTGTAAAGATAGCCAATCCCAAAACGATCACATACTGTATGATGCCTTTTCTATAACATTCTTAAAGTGACAAAATTATAGAAATGAAGAACGCATTATTGATTACGGGGGTGGGGGGTGGGCAGGTGACGGGGCTGAAAAAGGGCAACTCCAGGATCTGTGTTGATGGAACTGTTAATATCCTGGTTGTGAGCTAGTTCTATAGTTTTGCAAGATGTTACCCCTGGGGAGAAATGGGTAAAGGGTACACAGGATCTCTGTGTATCATTTCTTACAACTGTATGTCAATCTATAATTATCTCAAAATTAAAATTTAATTTAAAAAACGAGGGCTGGCCCTGTGGCTTAGCAGTTAAGTGCGCGCACTCCGCTGCTGGCAGCCTGGGTTCAGATCCCAGGCACGCACCGACGTACCGCTTCTCCGGCCATGCTGAGGCTGCGTCCCACATACAGCAACTAGAAGGTTGTGCAACTATGACATACAACTATCTACTGGGGCTTTGGGGGGAAAATAAATAAATAATTAAAATAAATAAATAAATAAAAAATGAAAATACTTTCAGAAATTAAAAAAGATATGCACGAAGAGGAGTATGTAAGAGTTATTTCTAATAGCAAAACTTTTTAAAAGTTTGTTATCCATTAATAGGAAAACAACTAAGTCAAAAATGTAACATCTACTCAATGGTACATTAGAGATTTTTTTTTTTTTTGTGAGGAAGATCAGCTCTGAGCTAACATCCATGCCACTCCTCCTCTTTTTGCTGAGGAAGACTAGCCCTGGGCTAACATCTGTGCCCATCTTCCTCCACTTTATATGGGACGCTGCCACAGCATGGCCTGACAAGCGGTGCATCAGTGCACGCCAGGGATCCAAAACCGGGCTGCCAGCAGCGGAGCATGCATACTTAACCGCTACACCACCGGGACGGCCCCCCTAGAATTTTTTTTTTTTTTAATAATGATTATAAAGACTATATAGCCAGAATATTAGGCTATAATTCTAAGTTTAAAAAGATACAAATTTTATACACTGGTATAATTAGATTTATCCAAAATAAATAAAGAGTGAAAATACAAAAATAAATCTAGGTAAGTCTGATGTTATTTCAAACTTTTAAAAACACCTAATACCACATTTAGAACTTGACAGGTACTTGATAAATAATATCTATTAGCAGTATCTAAACATGAGGTGGTATCACTGCTAGTTTCAGAGAATTACCTGGAATGAGCAAAGGAAGGAATTATTTCAGAGGAAGGAAGGGAATGAGGATGATTAAGCCCAGAAAAAAAAAAAATTGAATCAGTGGACCCATCTTGCACATTTCCCAAGTGGGTTGACTACTTGTTTTTCCATCATCTTAGCACTTGGGGAAAGCTCTCTTGGAGATGGGCTTAGTAGCAGCAGGAAGAACCAAGAGTCATTCAACTGACCATGAAGGGTATGAGATGCTGGAATCCGGAAGTGAAGCTGGGTGTGGTGACCACATTCCAGGACTTCTCAGCACCTGGTCAGGCCCAGTTGCTAGGTTGGGCTTGTGCTGCCCTGAGGCACAAAAGGGAATAGAGAACTCAAACAAATTGGATAACCTGCCCTTCCCCAACCATTCAGTCCCCAATCAGGTCTTCAGAGTCCCCTTGACTGATGCTCAGAACTTCAGCTTCTGGCGGTCCCACCATCCAGGAGTGCGCCCAGAGGAAACCATGCCATGGATCCGGAGCCCCCGCCACTGCCTCATTAAAAGCCCAATGACCAAGTGAGGCTGAGAGGGGTAAGGGTGGGGAGACCAAGGGAAGTATTCCATCCCCTCACTTAAATCTTTAGAGACTGTTTCATCTCTACTCAGAGTTAGGGACTAGAAGAGGAGGTTTCAGTCTTACCGGGAAAAATTGGCCGCAGAATCTAGGCAGTGGTAGCATTCAAAGGAGTTAAAGATTTGTCCGTGTCTTTGTGTTTTGCCTTGTGGATATGACTTCTGAGCAGACACAAGACAAGTGTCTCCAGCACTGCTGTGGGAGGCCAGAGATGTTTCCACTCCCTTGGTTGCTGCCTCCCCAGCCCTCCAACCACCATCCACTGACAGTAGCCCTACCTCCTCATCACTACCCCTGCCCATTCTGCCCTGCAGCAGACTTGGGACCCCCTCCCCAACTCCAGCCTGGCGTGGCTGAATTTGAGACCCTCTCTCTCTGTTCCAGGTTTATGGATCACTCTATTCTCAATGACAGAACCTTTAGTCTATATTGAGCAGGATGTGTTTGCAGAACAAGATGGACTGTGGAAGGAGGACAAGAAAGGGGAAAGAGGGAGAAGGTGTCCTGGTTCCGATGGCTGACGATGGGAGGAGGGGATCAAGAAAGCAGAGTAAACAGATTGGACTGGAAGTCACTTGTGTGCACTGGAAGCCAGGGTGAGGGAAATTATTCCAGTGCCCAAATTCCTGCGAGATCAGGTGTGTGAGAGATTCTTGAAGGAGCCAGAACTTGGTGTTTGGTTTGGGAGGGGCCAGGGCACTGGAAAGACCACCACAGGGGGTCCTGACCTCATGTATGCAGGGGTCAGAGTAACAAATCCAGGAAGACACACACTGGTCCTCATGATACTGAAGGGCCTAGAGTAGTCATGCTCTCTGAAGAAAACGCAGCTTTACCTTGGCAGGCAGAAGACCAGAGGAAGCCCTTTGACCACAGACAGGAGAGGTCCACAGAGCCCTAGAGAAGGAGACCGCCTCCTACACCAGGCTCTGCCACTTCTGACCCAACCCGCAGCCCAGAACAGCTGCTGAGAACAGGGAATTTTACAAAGAGTTTGATTTTATTGGTATTTAAATATATTAAATATTTCACTGAAATACATGGTATACCACCCTCCCCCCCCACAGTGGTTACATTATAAAACCAAAGTCCATGGGCCTCCCACCCACTGACCCCCCACCAACAGTGAGGAAGGGGGCAATGGTAGCCCGAGGAAGGGCATGGCTGGCACTGTGGTGTGGGAAGCCAGGGTGTGGACAGGCCCCTCCCACCTGGCAAGAAGCAGAGATAAGTCACCCAAGACTGAGGTCTTCCCACTCTGGTCTCCTTACACCCTCACCCCCACCCCAGGGCTCCAAGCAGTCCCTTCCTACCCAGGGATATGGCTGGGGGAAGGGGAGTTGACTTTCTGTCTGGACCAGCTAGTCTTTTCCCCTTTTGCTGCCTTGGCTAATGAAGTGCCTGATGGCCCATTTGGTTGATGCATGAAGATCCCCCAAGGCAGGCAGTTTGAGCCAGAAACCAGGCATCTGCAAGGAGCTAGAGTCAGAAAGGGCATGAGGAAGGGCAAGAGTGCCACCTGCCCCCTCCGCTCCTCAAACCCAGCAACTCTGGAACCTTCTTTCCTCTGCTCTCTAATTGCCTCCAAGAGAAAGCGATCTTCAAGCAAAATTCAGGCTAATGCCTCTGGCTTAAATAGGTACAGACAGAAACCAAGGCACCAACTAATTCAGGCCAGAGGCAAAGGAGGTTGCAGGGAAAGGGATCTAAGGAAGGCAGGGATAGGAAAGGAATCTGGTGCCAACCTCCTTGCCCTCCTGCCAGCCCTTGCAGGCTTCACAGGGATTGGGGAGGCAGGAACATGCTAGACTCAGGCTGAGTTTCAGGTTCCCCTACCCCACCCCCTAGTACCAGTATCTGGGTCCTCAGAGGGATCCCATGCTACCCCAGTCCCAAAGCATACCACATCCTAGAACACCAGCTGGGGAGCCCAGGAAATTCCTGAGCCTCTGCCGACCAAACCCTAGACAGTTCAGGCTTGGTCCCTGCCCCAGGCAGGGAGTCAATCATGCTGCACACGTGGCCCCCAAACAGCACTTTGGGATTTGGCACAAAAAGGACTCCTCTCCCCAGGGCCACTTTCCTCTTGCTACCACACCCCATCCCACTTTTGTGCAACCTGGGCATCTCTCTCCATCCCTTGAAATCGGAAACCCTGCCTTATTCCCAGAAGACAGAGGCTCACGGGAGAGAGGCAACCCAGGGTGGAGAGCTGAGGAGCAGGAGCCAAGGACACACAGACCCGCACACAAAGAGCAACATGCACGCACGTTACACAGACACACAGGCCATCCCAGTGCCATAGGCCTGGGAGGACAGGTTTGGGTTCAGGGTCACCTTCCACCTTGGCCCTTTTCAGTTTGACAGCAGAAAGGGCAGAGATGCTCCCCTTGCCAGCAGATGGCAAGAGAGCACTGGGGCAGAGTGACCTGATCCTGACCCTGTTGGGCCCTCAGATCAGAGTCTGGCACCATCCCACTCCCTGGCCAGCCTGCTCTCTTTGGCACCTGCAGGTGAACTTCCAGCTCCTGATCTTCTGACATCCCCACACACACGCTTGCTCTCGGGCTGGGCATCTTCACAGTACCAATGAAGCCAGATGCCCCTTTCCTTGGAACTGTGCAGGAACTGGGGCCAAATCTGAGCTGTCAGAAGTCCCTTTGTTCCCCTTTGGGGACAGATCATGGGACTAGGATTTGGCAACTGGAAATATTCCCCTGAAATATGGACAGAACTGGGTCCCCAGAGCACCTCCCTCCTTTGCCCTGTGTCTAGGAGGGAGATCTGGCTGGGGTGGGGGTACCCAGGACCAGTGCTGGGGATGCAGGCAGAGCAAAGGCAAGCAGGGAATAGGCACTCCTCATGCCTGCCCCAGTCTTTGTACAAAATATTCCCAGGAAAAAGAGGGAAAGGAAGGGCCCAGCCCTAAGCCTGTTGCCCAGACAGACAGGAAAGGGTAGGCATGGCAAGCTGCCATTTTAATCTCTCAGGCAGGAGGGCTCCCGCTGCCTCTGCTGCTGCCCCCTCCCCTGCTCCCAAAAGCTGGAAGAAAGGAGACGGAACAGCCCTACCCCAATTAAAAAAGAAAGTCACTTGCATAATCCTCTTGGTATCCCCTCATTCACCAGCCTGAGGGCAGACGAGCATGGTCCAAGCATGGCCTGCTGGGGTGTCCCTTTTTGTGATCAGCAGGGTCTGGAGGCTCAGTGCCCCTGCCACAGCTCCACCCAGTGAGCACAGAGTCCTCTCAAATGCCCACCTTGGTCCCTTCAGCTGAATTGGTAGCTGGGTCCTGCTAACTGCTGGGGCCCCCATTGAGGAAGTAGGTGGTCATCTCCCCCTTGCCCTTCACCTTGACCACCCCTCGACACTCCAGCTGGTAGCCCTTGGCAGCTAGAACCTGGTACAGGTCCGTGGTCACCTGGGGGGTGGGAGGGGAGCCTGCTTAGCCTGGGGTCCTTCCTGCTACATCTGCAGGGGCCCAGGGGCTCTCTAGTCCTGCTAGTTTCCCTCCCTCAGCCCCACCCCACCAGCCACAGAACACTGCCACCCTGCCTCTCTCCTAGCTGACTGTAGAGAGGGACCTGCAGAAACCCATACCCCTCCCAGCCTCTGCTCACATCCTCCTCACCTGGATTCGGTCAGGGACCCCCGTGCTGTCCATACGGCTAGAGACATTCACCGTGTTCCCCCAGATGTCATACTGCGGCTTCCGAGCCCCAATGACGCCTGCCACAACTGGGCCCATGTTCAGCCCTGGGTGAGGAGAGCAGCAAGAAACTGAGACTAGTGGATGTTCCAGGGAAAGCCTGGCACCTTAGAAGGACCCAGAGAAGAAAGTGGCAAAGGGACAAGTGTCCTGGTTGTAAAGAATGGAAGATCTGGGCATGTTGGCTGGGGAGCTCCCCTGAGTCAAGACAGCTCTGCTCCAACCATAGCTAATCGACCGAATGCTCCTCTGTGCCAGCCACCCTGTACGCGGTTTCCATTATTTTATCCTCTCAACAGCCCTAAAAGGTAGGTATCGTTATCCCCATTTCACAGATAAGGTAAGTGAAGCTTAGAGAAGTTAAGTGCCTTGCTACATAAGCCAGTAAGTGGATTCAGCCAGAATTCAAACCAGACAGTCTGACTCCAGAACCCACGCTATTAACCACTCCCATCCACCCGTCCATCTAAGAGGAAGTGCCTCTATCAGACTGGCCACAGACAGAGGCACAGGTACTGGAGTTTAGATAAACCTGGTTTTGAATCCCAGTCAGCCACTTACTAGTTGTTTGACCCAGAGTTATTTAATCTCTCTGAGAGTCAGCCTCTTTATCTGTAAAAGGGGATAATAATATGAGGATTAAAATGTGCTCAAAAATGTCTAGGACAATGCCTAGCATCTGGGCCCTCAGTAAATGATCTCTGTTCTTAATATCAGACGATATAGGAGGTGAAGGATAGGTAACCCCTCAGAGTCCGGATGGGGAAGCTATGATGCCATCCCCAGCCTGCTCCCTGAGCTTTCCCCAGAAACGCCCTGGGAAAACCTGCCAGGCAACCAGGCCCTCTCACCAATCTTCATCTGGAAATTGTTGAAGGAGTGCTCATTGATGTGCTTCATCTGCTCCATGAGCCGCATGGCATAGTCGGCGAGAGCAGTAATGTGGGAGCGGCCCACCTGATCATAGGTGCTGGCATTCAGCCCCGAGGCAGCCATGTAGGTGCTACCAATCGTCTTGATCTTCTCCAGCTGCCGGAAGCGCTCCTCGCTGATGATCTGAACAGCACAAGAGACCTGGCTGTCAAGGCACAGAAGCCAAACCCACCATGCCCCATGCTCAACCTCGCCATGTCTTGGCCCCCCTGCCCACTTCCCTGTCCCAGCAGATCCCCTCCTTTAGTGAGTGAGCCCCACTTCCAGCTGCTGCTCTCAGTGCAGGACTGAGGAGCCAGGAAAACAGGCTTCTTTCACCCGGTAGCCATCAGAACACCTTCAGGTCAACTTCGATAGCTCACTCACAGAACCCAGACCACAGAAGGGACATTGGGCATCGATTATCCAACCCTCATCTTTTGGAAACTGAGTCCCAGAGTGAGGAATTACCTTCCCTCCAGAACAGTGAATGGCCCATTCCTGACCTGGATGTTCAGGACACCTCCTCACATTTTGCTTCCATTTTCTCTATTCAGCGGACCATCTTGCTTACTTGGCCTTATGGGGCTCTGTCCACAGACTACTGCCTTCTTCAGTGACATCCAACTGGTACCTATCCTGTCCTCTCCACAGATCCTCATGTTCTCCTTTGATCCCCAACGATGACCCTGCCCCCACAAGGGGTCCTCCTTGCTGCATCTGACATCTTCATGGGTCCCTGTCCCTGCCTCCACTGTGCCTACCCTTACCCCTACCCCTGACATCTCTGGGCCCCATCAAATCTCCCTTCTTCCTCCCAGTACCACCCACCCCCTCCAATCTGGACCTTCTCATCCAAAGTTCTCCCCACTCCCCTGGTTCCCCAGGCCCCCCACTGTCAGCACCAGCTAACTGGACAAGTACCTCATCAAAGTCAGCAATGATCTCATTGAGCAGCCGCAAGCACTCGACGCCCTCATTGTTTGCCTCCAGCTCCACGTAGAACTCAGAGAAGTTGGCAATGGAGGCGAACATGACAGCCACACACTCACATGACTGGTAGTAGAGTTCATCGTTCCGGCGCTCCCGGGCCAGGAAGTGGGCAGCCACGTCCTTGGGCAGAATGTTATGCAGCAGCCGCCGATTGTATGCCTGGAGCTCCTCCATCTCCTCCTTCTCCCCTGTTGCCTGTAGACACCACACCCATCACCCATTGCCCAACATTCATAAGGGGTGAGTGCAGTGGCCAACGCCTGGAGATGGGCATCAGAGGGAATCACGTGGAAGAAGAAAGGCACGGACAGATGAGGCCCAAAGAACAGGCAAAGAGATGAAGGGGGTGGAGACACAATGAGGCAGGAATAGGGGATGGTGACAGAGGAGACATGGAGGCAGGGAGGGCTTGGGACAGCCTGAGCCTTGGCCAGTTAACAAGATGCATTTCTGGCTTAGCCCAGGCTCTGCCTCCAGGATCCTCCCCCTCCCCCCAGAGGCCTACCCAGTCACCTGCAGTTTCCAGAGGAAGTCCAGGCGGGCAGTCGATTCCACCTGCTGGGCATGCAGATACAGCGCCAGTGCAAACACCAGCAGAATCACAGGGGTCATATATTTGAGTGCCACTCTCCCTGCAGCTGGGCTGAGGGTATGCAGAGGCACGCTCAGGGTCTGAAGGAGGCATCTGGCAGCCCTACCCTCTGCTGCCCCAGAGCCCTCACTCACCAGTCCAGCCCATCAAGGGTCTCATTGGAAGAAGCCCTAGCAAGAAGATACAAGAGACAAAGTCATTGGGTCTTCCTGGGTTACAGGGTGGGGGCATGGAAGGAGAGACAGAAACGGCACTTACTGAGCACATACCATAAATCAGGCATTGGGCCAGGACTTCTGCTTAATATTAACTCCATTAAGAGCAGAGGTTAAGAGAAGGTTCCACTCCTGGCTCCTCTACTTAACCAGTTATGTGACCTGGAACAAGTTGCTTAACTCTCTAAGCCTCCGTTTCCTCATCAATAAGAGGGATCAGATCTAAATAACGCATGCGAAAGGCTTAACACCTGCCTGTGCCTGGCATGCAGTAAGCCTTCAACAAATGTTAGTGACCATAATCTCTACAACTACCCTGTGATATAGGTAGCACTGCCATTTACAGATGAGGAAACTAAGGCTCAGAGAAGTTAAACCTGTCCACGTTAATACAGCTAAGGAGCCACAGAGCAGGGACTCAAACCCAGTGGACTCCAGAGGCTTTTTCTACCACACTAAGCTCTGGTTGCCTATCACAAGGGGTGGGATTTTGCATATGAAAAGCCAGTGTGCGGGCCGGCCCTGTGGCTTGGCGGTTGGGCGCGCGCGCTCCGCTGCTGGCGGCCCGGGTTCGGGGCCCGGGCGTGCACCGACGCACCGCTTCCCCGGCCATGCTGAGGCCGCGTCCCACATGCAGCAACTAGAGGGACGTGCAGCTATGACATACAACTATCTATTGGGGCTTTGGGGGGAAAATAAATAAATAAATAAAATCTTTCAAAAAAAAAAAAAGAAAAGCCAGTGTGATATCCCAGGCAAAGCCCTCAAGCAGGAGTCAGAAGTTTTGGTTCCTAGCCAGGGCTCTGCCACCAAGCAGCTGTGTGACCTACAGGTGGTTAAGAAAGTGGATATGAAAGCCCCATGCAAATGTGAGAGAGAATTCTTTTTTTGTTTAATGTCTAGCCTAAAGACACAGGGATTTCCCAGGATTGGGGTTTCCTTGGGGTGACTGGGGTCATGTGCTGGGAGCTCCTCCACTGCCTCCTTTCCCCCCACAGGTGATGGGTGAGTGGTGGCATTCCAAAGGTACAAGGGGCCTGGGCACCAGAGAGGCTCACAGGGACCCAGCAGGGTCAGGAGGCTCCTGGGGGATTAAAGGGGCTGAGGATAAACTCACAAGCCATGGACGCCAAGCAGCAGGTCATAGTTGTCAAAGATGGTGGCTGGGGGACCCAGCAGAAGCAGCACCAAATAGATGAGCCCCAGGACAAAGATCATGGCCAACTTCCCGATGCTACTGATGTGCAGGAAGACAGAGCTGGCCAAGAGACTCAGCAGCATGTTCCCGACCAAGTACTGGGGGGCGATGGCAGAGGCGGTGTTGGGTGAAGGCAGAGGCCACAGCGCCCCGCTGCCTGACCTAAGCTCCCCTCCGCAACCTCAACCCAAACCTCCTTCACCCTCCACAGCTAGCCCCACACCACATCAGGACCCCTGGCTGCTCCTAGAGTGGGCACTCTGGTGAGATCCTGGGTCCCCAGTCCCGTCACCAGGCATGGCACAGAGGGGTCAATAACTGGTCCTGATCGGGACCCCCCCCACCGCCACCCCGCCTGAGCACTGCTTGGACACCTCGGGGAAGCTGCAGGTGGGTGCGGTGCCCTCACACAGGGGAGCATCCAGGCCCAGAGAATAATTGAGCTGCTGCAGGTGGCAGGCAGTGATGTCGGCGGGTGTTAAATTCAGCATCCGGGCTGCGCAGGTCCGTATTGGGGTGTGGTTACAGGTGAACTGTAAAAGTTGAGGCAGGGGGTGTGTCAGGGTAACCATGGAGGGGAAGGGCACGAGGGCCATGCCCAGGTGCCTTATACCCCAGAGGCCAAGTTCTCCCTGAGAGATGACAGGAGGTGGGGAGAGCAAGGAGGAGGGGAAACCAGAGTTAACCTCACCCCCTCCTTTGGGATAACGGGCTCCCTGAGGGCAAGAAATGTGTCTTACTCCTCTCTGTACCGCCAGCACCCAGAGCAGTGCTTGGCACAGGGGAAGGGTGGAAGAATTCCCACTGGACCTTTACCATGCTGGCGATGGCGGAGGTGAACACAAGCAGTACTGAAAAGATGCCAACTGCAGTGCTGTGTGCCCGCGAGCGGACAATGCTGCGTGACAGCCGTTGCAGCGCCTTAGGGAAGAGCTGCAGGTAGGCGAGACACCAGGAGTTGGAGGCCGTGTCAGCCAAGGGGTAAAACCAACGAGGGATGGGGCCCAATGTGAGGGGCATGGCCTTCTCCACCCTCTCCCTGTGTGACCCCTCCCCGCCTCGACCCAGCCTGCCCTGGAAGACCCCCTACATACAGAGCCACAGGAGTACACGGCACAGGTCAGCACAGTGATCAGCAACAGCAGGAAGATACTGGCATAGATCCCAAGCATCAGGGTTGAGCTGGGGCAGAAGAGGGCCAGGGAAAACGTTACTCTGGAAGATCCGGGCATCCTTGTCCCACTCCCTAGATGGGCAGGATGCAGGCTCCAGGAACAGTGGGCTTGTGTGGATGTTTAGAAAGGTTCTGGGAAGTGGTGGAGGGAAGAGAAGCCGAGGGAGAAGGGGCAGGGCTCTCACTGTGGGAAGATGAGGAGCTGGATGAAGCAGATGAAGCAGAATACCAACAGGGCACAGGCCACGTAGGCTCCAAAGCGGGGGTCCACCTTCCGTGAGTACTGAAGAGAGGAGGCTGAGCTGGCACTGGGCCCTGCCCTGGGGCAGGCAGCGCACTACAGGGGCCTCGAGGCGGGGAAGCAGGTGCCCAATTGATATGAATGCCCACTGTGCCCTGTGGTCGCCTTCCCATTCCCCAAAAACCTCTCCTATTCCCTCACCTGTGCCTACATTTCCCTGCCTGGACCTCCCTCCTCCCCCAGCCCTTGTCCTTCTGCCCTTGCATCCCCCAAACCTTCTTTTCAAGGTCCTCTCTCTGGAAGGTGAGCAGGAACCGGCGCACATGGTCCTTGCGCAGCTGATCGATGCTGCGGGCATCAATGGCACGGCCCAGGAATTCATCTACCTCATCCTCGGGGTTCAGGGCGTCTTGGGCACCCCGGCTGAGGGCAGGGGACACGGCTTCACAAGGTGCATGAGCATTGCCATGTGAGAGGCAATGAGAAGGGAAGGGCGAGGACAGCACCCAAAGGAGGGAGTGTGAGCCGGGTATGTGGCCCCTGCTCCCACACGACACATCTAAGGTCCAGGAAAGAGGGGGATCTCGGCTCCCCGCAGCCCTGTCCTAGGGTGCAAGTGCCTTCTCCCACCTCTTCCTCCCTCCTCAATAACCTGACTTACTTGTCTTTGCTGGAATCATCAATGCCCTGGAGAAAGGGACAGAGTGTGCGAGTGAGGTGAAGGGCAGATCACCTTCACCTCTACAATCCCTTCCCCATCCCCAACACTGTGCTGAGGGCTCCCCCCATATACTTGGGGGGCTTGGGACCCCTGGGATGAAGTCATCCCTGCTACCCCCAATACCAGAAATCATACATGGAGATGGCAGCCACCACAAGGAAGACAGAAGAGGGAAGGTGGACACAGAGTGTTGAGAAGGTGAGGCCCCAGGTCCTGGTGCTGTGGGCCCCTCACCATCTGACGGAAAGCTTTGGAGTCCTTGGTCCGGGAGAAGGCGCGGTCGGGCACCCAGCGTGGCATCAGCCCTTCCATGGAGTTGGCCCGCGTCCGCTGCAGCTTCGCCAGCATGGCCTTCTCCTCTTTCTGTGTGGGCAGCACAGCACAGGCTCAGAAGAGGGGCCCAGGGAAGGCCTCTGCCTGCTTCCTCCATTTGCCCTTCCCCCACCCCACCCTGGCCTGACCCGTTTCTGGCTGGCTCCCAGGATGAGGAAGGTCTCGATGTGCTGCTCCTTGAGGTATGCGTTGCGCTCGCCACCACGGCCAGGCTCCACCTCGTAGTCCCCGTTCAGGTACTGCAGCGTGGCCCGAGTGATATGGATGCGGCTGTGCGGGCACAGCAGGCTGAGACCTGGGCTCTCCCACCTTGCTCCCACCCCTCACAGCCTGGACCCCACACTCACCCAGCCCGGCCCCCAGCTTCCATGTGGTTGGCCAGAGTCACATCATTGGACCACACATCGAATTGCCATTTTCGCAGGCCAAGGACGCCACAGTGCACTCGCCCGCTGTGGATGCCCACACGCATATTCACGTTCACACCTGTCACCTCACGCACCAGCCTGGGAGGAAGTGGCTCCGGTTTAGCTCCTGGCACAGTCTTCCCCACTCCCAGCCTAGAGCCCAGGCCCTTAGCTCCCCTCGGAGCCAAGCAGGCAAGCACAGACCCAGATGCACAGCACAGGAGCACGGCCTTGGCTGGACATGGGCAGAAGGCTGCATGGGGCTCAGGGACAAATGTTTGAGAACTGTGTTCACCAGCAGAGGCCTGGCAGCATCTTGTGGAACTGAGCTGGGAGAGGGGCAGTCACTGTTCTCCCCTCAGGCCTGCTCAGCTGGCATTCTCTCCAGCGTAAATCTCCCCACCCTGGCTCTCCCTACCCTATCCCAGCTGGCTGAGTCTCAGGGGCACATGGGCCTTTACACAGGCTGAAGAAAGATCCATTCCCCTCCCCAGTGATGGATCTTAAAGACAGAGAAGGGCCAAGACTGAGGAAAACTCCTGAGGACACATCAAAGGGTAGGAGCAGGCAGGGGCACCCTCAGATCCATGAAGCCTGGGAGGGGATGCTGCTTACGAGATGGCCTCTATCATGTCCACTCCCATCTCCACACAGCAGTGGGCGTGGTCTGCCCGGGCCTCTGGCAGCCCTGATACACAGTAGTAACAGTCCCCTAAGATCTTGATCCTCAGGCAGTGATTTTCCTAAAGGAGAAAGAGTTGGGGGAGAGTCACCTTTACTCTCTTGCCCACCCAGCCTGCCTGGCCCAGCACCCTCACTGCAGACTCGATCTGCCCCACCCCCCAGGCTGCCATAGTGAAGCTGGGCTCTCACCGGTCGGCCCCGCCCACAAGCCCCAGCACCCTCACCGCAGCCAGCTTGTCAAAGCGGGCAAAGAGCTCATTCAGGGTCATGACCAGCTCCTGCGCAGTGCACTGGGAGGCCAGACTGGTGAAGCCCTCAATGTCCGCAAACAGGATGCTGTGGATGACGACAGAAGATGGAAGGGCCACGTAGCCCTCAAAGACTCCCAGATACCCTACCCCTCCTGGTATCCTCCCACCCCCACCCTACCTAACATTGTCATGCTTCTGGATGTAGATCTTGTGGAACATCATGTCTTCTTTCTTTGTGTTGATGTCTTCTTTCATCTCCATGGCAACATGCTGGGGCAATACTGACAGCAGCAGCCGCTCCTAGACCAGTGGTTTCAACAGGGCACCACTACCTTCTTGGCCTCACATTTTAATCCCTCCTGGTCCCTCCACATTCCCAGAGCCCTCCCAGACCTCTCTGGAGAACTGAGCTTCCCTTCTGGACCATCCCCTGACCCTCCCCCATTAGACCCCTCAGCAGATATACATCCCAGCCTTCTCTGACCAGGCCCCATTCAACCCCTCAGATGTGCTCCCTTCTACTCCCTCTCACACTCTTGACAGGACAGGAACCCCAGGGTCATAGGGCCTCTATGATGCACAATCAGGGGGAGCCATTCACACTTATTCCACGGAGTTACACGAGGCAGCAGATCCAATCTGCAAGTTATTCGGGGGTGAGGAGGGGGAAGGCCACGGTCAGGGAGAGCAGCCCCACCTGCTGCCGATTCTCATGCTGCAGGTGCAGCCGGGCCTGGATGTAACCGCGGGTCTCCTGAAAGGCCTGGCGCTGAGACACCTCAGCCGGGTAGTGTGTGCAGATGCCAATGACGTTGGTGCAGAGGAAGAGCATCATGTTGGCACCGAGCTGCAGGAGGGCAGCAGAGGCAGACGGGTGACCACCCCCACACACACACAGGCGCAACTAGCTAGGCTCTCTGGAGACGCACACCTCTGGGGAGGAATCCAGGATCTGTGCCCTGCCTCTCCCCAAGCTGTCCCCTCGCCTGCAGTACATTTCCCCCATTCCCCACAGGACTACAGCTCCCTGCCTGGATCACTCCATGGCTAGAAATGAAATCTTTCCACAGCCCCTGGGAGCAGAAGCACCAGCCAGGACCAGGTAGGTGATGGAGCCCAGGCCCAGCACACTATGATTTCCTGCCCCACAAACACCACAAACAAAAGACAAATGCTGCTCCTTCTGCATGTGGTTCTCCTGACAGAACAATACCCAGGAGACCTGAGCTCTACACCCTCCTGTGAGTGCCCAGGACAAGTCACCTCATCTCTCTGGGCCCATTGCTTACCTGGAGAGGGAGAATAAGAAGATCTCTAAGGTCCCTCCCTGCACTGACATAACTTAATATAATAATAATTACCATTATTATTATTACTGGAGCTTATTTGTTGGCTTTCTACAATGTGCCTAGATTCTTCAGGTGATCTTCTATACATTAACAAATGTATTTCTTACAACTCTGAAATAGGTAACACTTTTAAAGGTGAGGAACTCAGGCACAGAGAAGCTAAGTAACTTGCCCCAAACCACACACTTGGTAGTGACTGGTGTGGGACTGAGTCCAGGGCAATCACACTCCAAAGACTGAGTCTAACCTTACCGTACAGTACATTCCAGGTTTCCAAGATTCCTACTCACCCCACTCACCCAAGCTCTTGAGGCCCAGCCTCAGAGCCCAGGCTTGGGAGTCATCAATTCTACTGACAGAAAGAACCCTTCCTAACTGGGATGGGGTGCCACCATGCCTGCCACCCCCAACGCTTGGCCCCACCAGTCCCCACGCCCTAGGACCCCGATCCTAGGATGCTCAGCCCTCAATCACCATCTGTAGCACTGACTGGAGAGCAAGTCTAAGGGAAGCCGGCCTCAGTGTTTCTGGAAATTCAGGGGTTAGCCTGGCACCTGTGGCTCCACCCCAGAGTTGGCTGGGGCAGGGCTCTGATTTTGGGAGAAGGGAGGGAAAGAGAACCAGCTAGAAGCCAGGAGTTCTGTGCTCCGCCTGGAACCAGAACTAGTCCCGCACACTTGGGCAGGTCACTTAATCTCTGGGACCTCAGTTTCATTTTTCTTGGGTAAAAGAGAGGGGTGGGTCGGCTAACCCTCGAGCCATTTCCAGCTCTGATCCTCTAGGATTAGCCTCCTCCTTCCCTTCCCAGTCCAGGCCCCCCTCCCAACGGCAGGGGTGAAGAGAGGGGCACACTATCTCCCTCAGGGATTTCTAAGAATAGCCCCCAGTGGGGGAGAAGGGAAGGGGGAGCAAACCAGGCAACTTCCCTTCCTGGCCCCAGGAGCCCAAAAGGAAAATGTGAGTCATGTGGAGGGAAGGGGAAGGGGGACAAGAGACTGAAATAGATCTGTACACAGACCCCTATGCGACTGTGAGAACAAATGGATGCCAGGGCACTTCAGGAGACTCCAGGCTGGGCTGGGGTCGCTGGGTAAGACTGCTCCGCGTGTCTGAATGAGTGGGTCAGAGGAGAAGGAAGGCTCCTTCCCATGAGTGTGAGCGGGAGTGGATCTGGGAAGGGGCTGCTCAAGGATCCTAGAAAGGAGGCCACAGCCCCACCCCATCCAGAAACCCACAGGCCAACTGGGCAGAGGGAATCCTTCTCAGCTCAGAGAAGGGGTATGGGCAGCCCTGGCCCCAAGGACCGGCACAGGGGCAGGGGCGACTTTCTCCACTCACCCCAAGAATGTGCCTGCCGAGACCCACTGGGTGAAGCAGCAACCGGGCACCCCTGGGGAGGCAGGAGATTGGCACAGTCCTGGCCTCTGTGGGGCTGTGCCTCCCCAATCAGGCCCTGGGCCTGGCTCTGGGCACCACGCCAGCTGAGAGCAGGGAAGAGATACCCACCCAACCCAGGACCAGCCAGAGAGGACAGGGGGAAGGGAAGCACCACCTCGAAGCTCCTCCTTCCCCAGGAGGGCAGCCCCACTGCAAAGCCCAGCAGGATAGCTACCTTGGAGAGAAGCGAGGGGCTAGCAGGGGCAGAAGGACCCTAGCCCTTTAAGAGGTCTGACAGTAACCTGCGGGCACACGCTCCACAAACAATTGGACTATAAAGTTAATTTTGAAAAGGTACATTCTGTTCTGGAGCACAGGCTGGGCGGGGAAAGGCGTCATGCCAGAGCACCCAGCTTCTCACCCTGGGAGCCCCAGGCAACTTCCTCTTTGTGGGTGGGGCTAGGGTGGGCTACAGGTCACAAACCCTGGCCAAGGCAGAGGCTGGCTCCCTCAAACCTTGAGCAAGACAGGACAGCACCCTCTAAATCAGGGTACCAACGAGGGATCATGAGGTGCATTGGTTGTGGGGCTCCACCTATGTGGCAGCCCCTGAAGGATCAGCTGGGCAGACACCCTGGTCTCTGCTCCCTGGTCAGGGGGATGACATGAGATGGCAGACTCCACTGCTCATGTCTCTCTGCAACGGACTTCCTGGGAGCCCCTTTACTGGGTACCATCCCCTACAGCACCCCCACACCTCCCTGCCTCCAGGTAAGAATGCTGCCCTGTCAGGTTCTACTCCACTCTGGGAGAGGGTGGGGCCCGACCAGCAACATCACGAGGTAGATACTATTTTTATCCCAGTTTACAGACTGGGAAACTAAGGTTGGGAGAGGTAAGGTTAGTTGTCTAATATCTCACAGAGAACAGTGCAGCCATTGAATAACTAGGTCTGCCTGCAGCCAAGCCTCTATTTCTCACTGGACACCATCAGTCAAGCCCCACCTCACACACCACTCAGAACCCAGAGGCAGCAGCCGGCAGGGGCAGAGAACCTCAAGACAGGGCCACCAAACCCCTGGGGCCCAGTGGGAAGAGGGCACAATGAGATCAGACCCTAATGCCCATCTCTTCTATAGTCCAACCACATCCAAACCACTCCTAGCCCAGGAGAGAACTGACCCCACTCATCGCCTTCCCTGTCCTCTCAGAGATGGCTTGGTCCAGGACAGAGGCAACTCCTCCCTTGCTAACTCCATCCAAAACCTGCTCCATCCCTCCAGATCACCACCTAGAGCTGCTTTTCAGGGATGGCACCAGGGCCTGAGTCTCAGGTGTCAAGCTGGGGCCAGAGATGCCAAGGCCTGGACACAGCCTACACTGCTCTCCACCTCACCTCCATCCTGGGTCTAAACATCGCATTCCCACCTCCAGCCCCACATTATGTCTCTACAGCTACACTATTTCAAGGGCCTCAGACTGTGAGAGCCGCAGACTGTGGCCCATGGTGACAGAGTACATACTTGGGTCCTGGAGCCCTCTCTCTCCTCAGCAGCGCCCTCTGCCCCAGAATGGAGGTCGACCCCTGGAACTTGGCTTCCCATCACTTGCCCCTCCTCCAAGATATAGCCAGACATCCCTGTACGCAGCATCTACCCATGACCCACCCACCCTCGATTACCAGGCCCCTCTCATTCCTGGCCTGGTACCCCCATGCCTGCCTCGCTGACCACCCACCTGCTTCCAGAGGAAGGCATCACCACGATTGAGTTGCCAGGCCAAGATCAAATGCAGGGTGGAGAGGCCCAAGCCGCTGAAGACAGCTGCCCGCATGCGGATGGGTAGGAGCGTATAGGTGATGTAGACAAAGAACACGGGGCACCAGAGGCCTACAGAGGGGCTGTGGGGGTTGGCTGCCAGGGCACCCCCGACCTGCACAGCCGCCAGGATGCCTAGCACCACGTAGCTCACCACCCACATGGAGTCCTGGTGGAAGCTGTGTCGGTTACACACCACCATGAGCGCCACGAAGAGGGCAGCGGCACAGGCTAGCAGGGCCACGTAGGCAGGCTGAGGATGGGCAGGCGCGGCATGGAAGGTCAACAGCACGGCCGTGAGCAGCACGAGCACCGCCATCAGCAGCGTCAGGCTGCTCTGGTTCATCTGAAAGAAGTACCGCTGGTACAGGCGCTCCAGCTTTGCTGAGCGGAACTGCTTCGACTGGAACACCTGCGCCAGACGGCGCCAGCAGGATCGCCTGCTCCTGGGGGCCACACTGGGCACCACCTCAGCCGCCACAGCCTCAGTGTCCTCAAAGCCCAGGGCCACGGCCCGCAGCCCCAGCTCCTTGCCCTTGCCTGGGCCACCCCTCCGGATGAAGGCCTCATCCTGCCAGGGGCACCGAGGGGGAGCTGCAGGGGTGGGGCTGGGTGGCTGTGCATCCTGGAGGCAGCTCATATAGCGGGGTGTGCAGAAACCAGTGGTCCGAGTCCCACGGCGTGGACGCTTCTGCCCATTGCGTTCACCCCAGGCTGTTTTCCGTTCATCCACTTTGGGGACCAGGAGGCCACTAAACCACGACATGCTGCAGGAGGAAAGGAATGAGATGGTATTAATACCACCACCACGGCCCGACACTACCAGCAGCTGTCATTAACTGAGCATTCCCATTGCCATGCTTCAGACACACCATCTTCACACAATGACTCTGAGAAAGACGATGGTATCCCCACTCAACAAGGGAGAAAACCGAGGCCCAAGGAGGTGAAGTAACCCGCCCAAGACCAAGCAGCCACATAAGTATGAGAACCAAGATTCTAACCCGGATCCGTCTAACTCCCAAGCAGTATACTTACACACTCGCCTCTTCCCTAAAAGGCACTGATTTCTCGGTGGTTACAAACTCAAGTGCCTGTGTCAATGAGCAAAGCTACCCATGGTTCTGGAGAGGGAGTCACACCCTGAGCATGGGGACAAGCACCACCCACACCAGTGGACTGTTGCCACTGGCGTCCCAGTGGAGACTGATGTGATTTTTCAACAGAAGCCGAAAAAAAAAGACGTAGATTTTAACGCCACATCTCCTGATTTTTTAAACATTGGCAAGTAATTCACATCCTTCAACACTGCAAGCCAAATAAATCACATCTATGGAATGAATTCAGCCTGTGAGCTGCCAATTGGTAACCTCTATACAAAAGGGAATCTCTTTCCACATCCTTCCCCATCTTCCCCAAACACACACACTCACACACTATGCACACTTCACCAAGCTAAATTCAACTTCTCCTCAGGTCACAGCTTCACTGTAACTTCCTCAGGGAAGATGTCCCAGCTCCCCGACCCAGACTAAGTTTGGAGCCATTTACCCTCCATACGTTTCCTCCATAGTACTTATTCCAATTATAATTAAATTGTCCCTATTTAATGCGTGTTTCCACCCCCTGACTATAAATTTTGTGAGGCACCAATATTGAGCCTGGCTCATAGCAGGGACTCGATAAACATGTTAAAAAGATAGAAGAAAAGAAAGCTCAAGAGGATTGGTAGAGAGCAGCTAACGTTAAATAATAACTAATAATGATAATCCTACGATTATTCCTCTTTCTCACTGCACTCTGGCCCTCTTAGCCTCTTTGCTGTTCCCCAATGCACCACGCATAGGCCAGCCTGGGACCTTGGTGCCTGCTGTTCCCTCTGCCTGGAACAAGAGCTCCTCCAGGTCACAGCTCAAATGTCCCCTTATCAGTGAGCTTTCCCTGGCCACTCTATTAAAATAGCAACCCCCTTCCGGGAGCTCCCTATCTCTCTTCCCAGCTTTATGCTTTATTTTTCTCCACGGCTCTTATCAGCAGCTGCCATTCCATTTATTTTTCTTATTTGTTCATTGTCTGTCTCTCCAAACTGGAATGTCAACTTCATGAGGGCAAGGGTTTGGCTCTGTTTTGCTCACTGCTCTGTCTGCAGCACCACGTAGGGTCTAAATAAATGCTCATTGAGTGGATGGGTGGGTGGCTGGATGGATAATACGCCCATGCACTTTCCCTGTGCTTGAAACTTTTCAAGGTCCTTTCACATGCCTAATTCCATCTGATCTTCACCAAAATACTGGTTCTGTGAAGCTGGTTCTGTGGCCACCTGGGGCACAGGACAGATTTGACAGAAGGAAAAACAGAACTGAGGTCCACAGCAGTTTTATATGGCTGGTGCAAGTTATAGAAATGAGGAGTAATCCGATCGGCCCCAGAGCTCAGGTCTCCTGGAGGGCGGTGTCCCGAACTGGTGTGAGAGGACCCCATGACAACACCCTCAATGCAGCTCTCCTAGTTGAGGCCACCTCAGGAGAAGGTGAAGATGAGAGCACTGTCATCCATGGATGCCTGAGTCCCCACAGGGCCACACTCCTCCACACCCACAGGGCACCCTGAGGGGCTCCTGTGCTTAAACCTGCAGAGCTAGCAGCACTGACATTTGTACTCACCAGGGGACAGGGGGCGAGTACCCAGTGCTTGCCTCAGGTGGCCAGATGACCAGACATTCAAGCCAGACAAGCGGTGCTCCAAGGAGACACCCAGGGGCCCACAAAGCAGAAGGCAGACTGGGGAGCTCTCTGCCCACCGGAAATCCCCATCCCTGGTTCCCCCTCAACCAAGTTCCCTCGGCATCCCTTCTCCTAGACCCCACTGACCGGCATGCCCTCCAACCCCTTAACATCACCAACTGCATCATCTGGAGGGACGGATCAGAAATCTAAGACTTCTGGTCAGGCTGGCATTTGGAAAAGGTCACCAAAGAAAGCCTGGCTCTTCAAAACACTTCATTAGAAGTATGATCTTTGGAGTGAGACCAGGTTTCAAACCATACTGTGATTATTTGCTAGCTTCACAGTCTTGGACAAGTCACTTAACCTTCCTTGTCACTTTCTTCTTCTGTAAAACGGGAATAGTTGTGAGGAAAGAATCTAACAGTACTTGTCACATAGTACACACTCAATAAATATTAGTTCTTCTCCCACCCTATACCACTTTGAACCCAAAACTCGGCCCATGTCCAAGAGATGGGAAGACAAGAAAGTCATGAGCAAGAACACACATCTCTCCAGCCAGTCAGACGCCTGCTTCTATCAGTTCCTGTGTCCTCGGCTGTCAGTCCCCACAGCTGCTGAAGACAGAGCCCAGAGTGAGCAGGTTTCCCACCCCCTACCCATGACATTTTGCTTCAGCCTCCTCCCACTCGCCGGTCCCCTGACCTGTTCTTATTCCCCCACCCCCACTGGCCCAGACCTCTGTTCCCAAAGGGCCTGTTTCTGGCCAGGTTCCCAGCCCCCTGGAAGCACATCCTAGCATCTGGCTCATACTCACAGAGGAAGGGGCAGACCCTGTCCAGGGGAACACATGACCCTCCCAAGAACACTCTGACCCCACAAGGGGATAGCTTCAGAGGCCTGTAATTGTCCAACCAACTGTAACCATCCCACCCTGGGCTCCACTCCAGGCACTGCCCATCTTGGAGAACTCACCAGGCTTCCAGCACTCCTGGCACCCCATGCCAGGCTGGAATGGCAGGGAACAGGGGAGGGCACTGTTCAAAGCCACAAAACTTCCCTATATGGTCCCCCAACCCTCCTCGTCCAGGAACCCATCACTGTGAACCACAAACCACCTCCTTCTTTCCCAGAGACAGGCTCCTGAGCCTGTGCCTCCAACCTCCTCCTCCCCTGGGTCCTGGACTCTTCGCTCTCTCTCACAGACCTGCTGTTCCAGGCACCACTGGCTCCCACAGCCGGAGCCATGTCCATTCAGCCCAGCAGACTGAAGCCCAGTGCCTCCCAGACCTCAAGTCCCTCCCAAACCCTGATCCTCCAGCCTGAGACCCAGAGTCTGAAGCAGGCCCAGGCTCAGCCCCAAGGATGGCTCTGCCTGCTGCTTCCCTCAAACCCTCTTCCTGGCCGCCTCCCATCTGTCCTGTCCCCAGGGCCCCTCTGCTCCTGCCCTCCTTGGCAAAAGGAGGCTCCAGGGGACTTAAAATGACTTCAGAAAGTTCATGGCAGAAGGCGCTGCCCAGGCAGGGCCCTTCAGTGCCAGCACCGCCCACCGTGCTGGGACGTGGGCCTCAATTCCAGGCCTTCCCAGATGTAGAGGAGCCTCCCCAGGGCCTGTGTCTGAAGGTCCAGCGCAGCCTTCTCCTCTCTTTCCCAGCCCTTGGTCTCCCTCAAGACCGCAGAGGGCTCTCACCTCCACCCCCAACCATACAACCCCCACGGTGTTCCTCCAACTCACAGGGGTACTCAGGAAAGGGGAGAGTATGGGAAAGGGGTCCCCACGGCCTGATTCCACTTCTAGCTTTGCAGTCAGGCCCTAAAGCCCGTCCTGAATAAAGTCTGCTCCCCCTGCCCACCTTGCAGCGGCCCTGACACCACCCCTTTCACTCTCAAGGTCTGGGGTGAGGGGAAGGGGCATCCTGCAGGCAGCGGGCATACCCCCGCACCCTGCCCAGGCTGCCTCCCTCTCCCCTAAACACAATCACACTCTACCCCAAACTCGGAGGCTCACCCCACAGCCCCGCTGCAAAACCTCAGGACAGCCCCTCCTCCAGTGCATGCCTTTCCCCTCGTCGAAGCCAGCCGGGAACTCGCTTCGGGTGGAGGAAGGGAGGCAGGCGGCAGGCAGGGAGCGAGGGTGGGGAGCCTCGAGCCCGGACCCAGGAGTCCTCGAGCCCCCATCTCCTCCCAGACCTCCCTCTGCCAGCCCCAGCGGCAACACGCTCCCCCCAACACTACCGACACCACCCATCCCTGGCTCCGCGCCCCCACCAAAGAACTCCCGGGGGCCGTGCAGGAGTCTTCCAGCCTCACCGCCACCCGAGCGCCGGCGCCGCCACCTCCCCCAGCTCCCCG